CATAAAGTACCAGTATAACCTTAAAGATTAAGATTCACTTGCTAACCTGATGAATTGTGCATTGCTGAGCTCCTTTAACGTTCCCACTGAGCACTGCAGGAAGAGAGGGTTTTAGTTGGGCAAATGTTCCCAGTTGTTGAGGTCTCTCTGCCATCAGACCTCCCCTGTAACGAACAGCAACATGTCCTAATGCTGGTCAGGGCTTCTTGCAACATCCACACTTTGAAAGTCAGTCTTGATAGGCAGGTTTTAAGAGGTGTATTTACATGCAGGAAGGAAATTTGTTTAAAGTTTCTTTTGAGCAATCGGTTCATATTTTTGCTTATCTTGGCAAATTGCAGGTTTTGTATTCATAATGATACTGAGATATACTTAATTTTTAACCCACCACTGGAATGTGAGATTTAACATTAATCTAGGACAAACAGAAGTGATTCACATAATTGTCTCTTAAGTTGAATTCATTCTAAATTACAGTTTCCTTCTAATCACCTCAAAACCCATATTGTTTCATTTATTTCTACGATTTTCATTTGTATGAATGCCAAAGAATGGATCTTTATTTCAAAAACACACAAAGATTAAAAATAAAATTATGAATGCATTAGAGGCATTATTCTACTTAAATTTTAATTGAGGGATTACAGACTTAACAGTTTGAATTTTGAGATATTTTAAATAAGAAATTGAACATTTGAGATTTGCCTTGATATTGTTTAATACAAATCCAGTTCAAAAAAATTTTAATTGCAGTTTAAGTTGTTGAACATTTGTAAATGGTTTTCAATAATTGATTGTGATAATGGTGGTAACAAATTCAAGATATTATAACTCATTGGCCTATAAGACTCATGTTTAGTGGCACATAATGTGAATTTGTGTATGGGATTATACTTTATCCCTTAGGAAAACAGAATATTTAGTGGCAATAACACAAAGGCCTTAGTTAAGTAAATCAAATTTAAATTTTGAGGAAGTCTAAATTTTATATTTTAGTAGTTAAGATTTTGATGGTTTATGTTTTACTATTTTACGGTTACTTTAAATTATTTCTCAATTCTTCTTTAGAAGTTATAACTGTATGCCATATTTACTATTGTTGATTAATTATCCTTTTAGCCATTTTCTGAATTTGCATATTCTGACTCTTCCATGATTCTATCAAAAATTTTGTGCTAAAGATAATAAAAATAAACCTAAATGCTTAGTTAAGTTTGTACTGCCTGTTGAGTAATTAAAATATTTTTGAATTTTAATCACTCTAATATAACCAAGAAACTATGTTAGAACTAACCTATGGTGAGAAAAATATAACTGTAAAGGTGTTGTAATGAAAAAAGTTAATATTATGTTTAAAAAACTGTCATTCATAATGAGCTTTGATGAGGAAGGTTGGCGGGGTCTAGATGCTGGGAGCTGCCGTTTTAACCCAGGTTCACTGCGTGATAGCATCTCATAAAGCCTTGCTTTTCTTAACGTGGTGTAAGTCAGTGGTCTTGGTTCTTCAAGACTCTTATATGATAAAAGTAGGTTTCTTGTTGACAGCCTAGGCAGAAGGACCAAGGACTCATTGGTAATGCACCACTAACCTGTCTCTCCACTCCAGCGTGAGTACTGAAAAGGGTTAAGGCCGCTGTAGGGACTTGTACTGAAGCCTGCCTGCCCTTTCTCCTGTTCTTTCAGCTAAACAGAAGATTTCTAGTTCCCATGACTGTCAATCTGGTGTTTTTCTCAAGAACTAAATTCTTTTAAGGAAGATAATATGACTTATTATTAGACAGTGGCCTAGAAGGATAATATTTTGTTGGTATCCCATGTTTGATATGTATATATTTTTTCTGATCCTATTAACTTAAAATATTTTGAATTTGCAAGGCAGTATAATCCCTTCAAATTAAATGACAGGTATTTATATGATTAGATTTGCTTGTCCGGTTAATAGATACTAGGTTTGTCTGTGTTGAATTTTAATATCTCATTAGAATCTGACAACCCTGTGGACATAAACTCTTAACTTTTATTTCTAGATGACTGTAATTAAAATGTTCTTTCTTTCCACTGAAGTTTAAAAGCTTTGAAATAGCTTTTATAATGCCAAAATGTCATATTTCCCCCACTATCTGCCAAATTGGTATTGTACTTTATCTTGAAAATATATTTTGATTTTGTTAACTAAAAATAATTGCATAGTATTAAACATCCTCTATGGTTAAACCTTTTTTTTCTTCCATTTAATTTGATCTTTTGTTGTTACTAACAAATAATTTGTGGCACAGTTTCTTTCTTTACTTTTTTTTTTTTTAAATCATTGCTAGAATCACTTACTTGTCACCTTAGTGTGCTAGAAATGTTCTACTCAAATCAAGGGTTCCTTTCTGGTTTTGTGTGTTCTCACCTGCTCCTTGCTGTAAATCATTGAGATGTCAAGTGCGGTGATTAATTAAGCTGCACGTGCAAGTGCCTTTTTTTTCACCTGTCAAGCAGGAGAGACGTCTTCCAGCAAGATTAGATGGTGCTAATTCACAGCTTTACTTCAGACTTCAACAGTGTAGAAATATTGAATATTCAGATGATCATACAGAGTATGGCATAACAAACTTTGCTTTAGAATTCTTCATATTATGGGATACAATTATACCCAACCCTGTCATTAAACTCCTAATTAGAGGCAAAGAGTAAATTCGAAGTTCCTACATAAATATTTTAGAATTTTAGGTTCATACTTTGTAATTATCTTTACACAAATATTGGTATTTGATTTAAGATAAAAGTAAATATTTTTAAATTGGTAAATGCCATGTGTATGTGTGAATTTGTATGTATATATGTATGAATAATAATGAGATGTTCTCACTGTATAGCATAGCTTATAAATTCTGATAACTTGATATGGTTAAAAAACTTTTCTTTGAATAATAAATAATTTCAGAATGTAGTGTTAAGTTTTTAGGAACTACTTCTATATATAAGAAGTTTTACTATAAAACAACAGACTTCAAAAGCTACTTCTCCCTACCCTATTTCTTTCATTTTCCCCATCTTCTTTTAAACCATCAGTAAAAGCAAAACCTCAAATTGTATAGTAATCTTAATCTATTATTAAAAGGTCCTAGAAAGGAAGATTACAAGGTGGATTCAGGTTTTGAAACGGTTTTACCATTGGTTTAGCAGCGGGTGGGCAGGCAGATGCCTGCTCATAGTAGAACCTATTGCCATTTTTCACCATTGATAGAGTAGCCTTTCAGAGTCAATGAGCTCTGTCAATGTGAGCTTGTCAAGGCTACAACTTCATAGACCTGAGAGGCGGTTTGAGAGGTCAGCCCTTTTCAGGTTCGCTGTGATGCAAATGAACTTTAATGCTTAAACAACTATTGGAATTTTTATGTCTGCTCCTTGTTCTTTTTTCTTCACAAAGTCATTGACGAGACATTCAGTGCTTTTTAAATTGGAAGTTGCATTGTGCTAAAGACCTAGTACAGATTTACGGAGGGCTGAAAGCAGTTAGATCATGTTCTTTTCATGGTGCGATTAGAATCAAATCGATTTCCCTACAGCCTTCAGCATTCAGATGGCAATTTTAACAAAGCTTGGGGGCTAGACAAGGGACAAAACGACTGAACTGAATGTTAATTACACTCTGCAGCCTTATTTTCTTTTGATTTGGGGCTGACTGGCAACTAAATTAACAAAAAGTGTGACCATAACTGCTGCCCTATTTTCATTTAAAAGGAGAGCTGCCTCTAAAAGGCTATCTTACAAAGAAACAAGTGAGGGCTCCTGATCATTGCTAACAAGGGCACTTTTTCTTTAAAATTCTTGCCAAAAAGACTGTTCAAAAATTGTAATAAATTAGTCATTGACGTATTATTGCCAGAAAATAGTTGATTTCTTGATTTTGTGACATAAAATTGGAAAATATAAGCACTTGTGGTAATTTGTTGCTAGCTATGAATTATAATTGGTGCCTATGAGACTTCAGTGTCTTTATAGTAGCTCAACATGCTGAGATGTAATGGTGGAACTGGATTACAGTAGCTACTTTAAATGAATAAATCCTAACATTTTTATGTAACAGACTTCAAAACCAGCTTGTTCCTACCAGTTTTCCCCATCACTCAATGCTGCTTGCCATTCAAGTTTTCATGTGATTATCAGGACTTATTTACAGTTGTGCCACATTTAATGTTGGTAGATGCCTTCTTCCTTCTCAAGAAAGCTGCAGCTGCATCAGGTTGCAGTTCATCTCTTAGCAGTGCTGTCACTTCTGCACCTGCAGAGTTAGTCTCATCCTGACACCTGGCTCCATGCATTAGCTTCTTTATTCACACTCCCAAGCAAGAGCGGTCCATGCTGCTTAGTCTGTGCAGCAACTTAGGAAAGCCCTGGAACAGTACCCTTGGATTAAGAATCGAAGTTTACTCTCAGATACCACATTTATGCTGCTTTAAATAAAAATTTGGCTGTTTGAAAACTGCAGTGACCAATGAACTGATTTTCTCTACCATCCTAAAACTAGATGGATTTTTATAACTCATTTTCTCCCTTTATTAACCTTCAGTTAGTAGTTTTTTTTATTTACCTAAAGGCCATTTGTATTTTGTTAACTAATATTTAAATTATTATTGTTTTAAAAATAGAGATTTAGGAATGTTCATTACTATTTAAATACTGAAAAATATTTCCAAAAAGAAGTGGGGATTTAAGTTTAAATTTAAGCAAATGAAATGGCATTTGCTTTTTAGACAACTAGTTTTAAACGAAAGTCTAGCAAGTTGAAAATACTTTAAAAATATAAGCATAAATATTTAAAACAAAATCAATGTTTCTTTACAAACTACTGTCTCTGATGAGGGTGCTTCTTAGTGCTGGACTGTGGAGAGTACAGACCACTCTTGTCTTGTCATCATTTTATACTTCTTCCCTTTTCACACAAAAAGCAGCTGCAAAACAGCTTTTCTAAAACCAGTCAAGAGTAAACTTTCCCCTCATTTGTCTTCCAGACACGAAGATCGATTGAGAAGTTATTAGAATGGGAAAACAATAGGTTATACCACAAGGTGAGTACTGCAGGGAGCAGCTTCGTACTGTTGGGCTCTGAATTGCACAGTATGGAAACAGATGCTTTTGTTGGCTGAAAATATGAAAGGTGGACGAATGGGTGAGCCTTGTGCCCAGGAAAACGGAGCTCATTTCTCTTCTTTTGCTCTCCTTCGTGTCTAGCTGTGCTTGCACTGGAGACTGAGCAAAAGGAAATGTGAAACGAACAACATGATGGAATATGTAAGTTAAAGGGCTGTTTTGTGAGTTTCTCTATTAAATGATCATTTATTTTGTTTCTGATCTTATTCTTTCCATGATTATTAATCAGCAAAGGTGTCAGGAGCTTAATCTCATGAGTGCAAGGATTTTCTACGGTTCACAGATGCCTGGGTTTCATTGCAAGACTGATTTATAAAGTTATGAATGACTTGAAAACAAGGCTTCACTGTGTTCTGAAAAATAATAAATTAATTGCCAAGATAAAATGGCCTGAACATGTGTTGATGGAGTGTGAAATTTTAGATGCTGTATAAAGAATAACCACAACCTTGGTTACGCAGCACGTCAGATATGGCGTTTTTATATAATGCTAATCAAGTTTTCAAGTATGGAAGAGAGCCTTTCAGCCAAGCCATTGGAGCCTGAGAAGCCTGTATAGCCTCTGGCTGCCTGTGTACCTCATGGCTTTTCCAAAGTCTTACTAGATTACTGCTTTGTACAGTTATCTTAGACATAAACAGATATTGGCCAACCTATTTTGTCCCTTAAAATATGGCTGACTTTGCTTATACATATATAAATGTGTTATGCACACAATCATTTCAGAAATGTAGTTTATTGATGCCCTGATTTATTTGAATAGTTAGTTGTTCTTTTGAAAAGTTCAGAATACTTTAAGAAACTTTGAATTTATTAATTCTTCATTGAGCTTGAGTGTTTTACTTTCAAGCATGGGAAGGTTATTAGATTAAGAGAAAAAGATTTAAGAAAGGAAGTAATTGTTGAAACTAAAGCCAGTCTTTGTGAAGGACCTGATGTTATATTTCTGAGGAATTTTTACTCTTCTTTGAAACAGTATAACCCTCATTGTGTATATGTATAAAAGATTGGTTAAAAGTGTTTAAATAGTTGGAAATGATCAGAAAACCATTTCCTGATTCTTTCATTGTCTGACAGCCAAATCTCCTCCTCCTCCTCCTCCTCCTCCTCCTCCTCCTCCTCCTCCTCCTCCTCCTCCTCCTCCTCCTCCTCCTCCTCCTCCTCCTCCTCCTCCTCCTCCTCCTCCTCCTTCTTCTTCTTTTTTTTTTTTTTTTTTTGGCTTTTCGAGACAGGGTTTCTCTGTGGCTTTGGAGGCTGTCCTGGAACTCGCTTGGTAGCCCAGGCTGGTCTCGAACTCACAGAGATCCGCCTGCCTCTGCCTCCCGAGTGCTGGGATTAAAGGCGTGCGCCACCAACGCCCGGCTACTTTTTCTTCTTGAACATCAAAGATATTTTATGTATTCTCTCCCCTACCCCAAGCTCTCTCTGTTCACAAACTAAATAATTTAGGTTTTATCTTTACAATCACATGCTAAATTTCTTAATAACTGTAGAAAGGCAACAGCTGAGAGGCCCTTTTGAGGTTCACATGGACAGGTACCAGTCATTTCATCATTGTAAGAGCTCTAGTGCCTGTTAGGAGAGCAGGACAGCTATTGGGATATTTCAAGGGTTTCATGAAATAATGGTTTGCTATTATACATGTATAAACCACAACACCAAACTTAAACCTGAAGCCTTAATTACTTTTTGCATGTTTCTAAATTTATTTCAGAAAGGAAAAAATGACACTTAATAACAAACTGTTTATAACCCAGCGGTAGAGCGTGTGCCTATGGCACAAGGGGTTGAATCTGTTGCATTGAGAAAAGGAAAATGTAAATTATGTGATTTCCAAGTGGAGCTCCATGAAAAACATTCATTCATACAGCATATGAACTGGATTTTTCTTTTATCTCTAAGAAATTCTTTCATTACAATTAAATTAGTAGCTTTTAAAAACATTCTAAACTGCACACTTCATGAAAATTTTTAATTTACCTTGAATTTTTACATAAACACTTTAAAATGAATTGTATTTCACATGACCATAGAAAGTATACAAAAAGTACTTTTAAAATTGACCTTTAAAGTGATTTCTAGATATTCTTAAAGTATGCATATTTGTAGTAGTTGAAAACAAGAATAAACAGAGCTTCAGAGGACTAAAAGCATTTGAGACCATAGTCACACAGAGAGAGCCTAGTAAGAAGAAAATGCCTCCTTATTTAATGAATTTGAGCCTTTCTGCTGTGCATATGCCTTTGATACACAACCTCTGATTGTTTAAGCAAAGTACTTCTCTTTCATTATATTTTGACTGTTAGAGGTAATCTAGAAAAAACACTAATGCAAAACTATTTTTTTTGTTGTTGTTGTCATTCATGTATAAAGTATGTGTGGGGTTTGTGAAGGAAAACGTTTGCAGGCCATTGTTCTTTCAAAACTAAGGCAGAGTCAGATAGTCAGAAATAGTCATGTTGGGCTAGAGAAGAGAGTTGGCTCATCAATTCTGAGCACTTGTTACACTTGCAGAGGATGCAGGTTAATTCTTAGGGTCTCCATGTCTGCTCATAACTGTCTGGAACTCCTGTCTCAGAGGATCTGACATTCTCCTCTAACCAGGCATACACATGGTACATATTTATATATACACAAATAGTACATGTCAACATAACACATATGTATTAAAAAATAATAAAAAATAAGAAATAGCCACTGTTTTACACTTTGCATATACACTTTAAAATGGTGTGCTCACCTCTGGGGCCTGAAATTTAAAAACACTCAAGTGGAAGATGTGTTTGAATACCTAAATATTTATTCAATGTGAACTTGTAAGTCATTTAAATATTTAATCATTAACCTTTAGAACTACAAAGAACCTTTTTATCTAGTCCAACCATTTATTTATAGGTAGAGAACATGAGAAACAAGGAAATTGAGCACAAAGAAGCTAGGTGGAGAAAAAGTACTCTTTGAAAAGATGTATTTTTATTTATATATATGACTGTTTTGCCTGAATGTATGTCTGTGCACCATTTTTGTGCCTGGTGTCCTCAAAGGTCAGAAGAAGGCATTGGATCCCCTGAAGCTGGAGTTGTGAGCCAGCATGTGGGTGCTGGGGAATGAATCCAGGTCTTCTGCAAAAATAGTCAGTGCTCTTAACCACTGAGCTCACTTTTCAGTCCTGCATTCTTTTAACATATATTTTATTTATGCTTGGACAATTTCAAATATGTGTAGAATGTATTTTGTGCCGGCACCACTCTTCCTCCGTATCTTAACTTCTATCCCCCACTTCCTCTGGAGCCCTTCTTCTCAACACAACCCCTCTTACACTCCATGTTTATCTTTCTCTTTAAAAATAACCTGCTGAGTTTAGGGTTGTCAGTATGTGCATTGGTACAGGATTATTTACTGGATCATGGGCAACTTACCAATGCCTACACCCCTGAAGAAAATGATTCTGCCTCACCCAGCAGCTAGGAATTGCCAATAGCTTCTTAGTTAAGGGGTGAGGTTGCATGAGCCCTTCCCCCATCTACCCAAAATCTTGGGCAAGGTAACCCCAAGTTCATGAGTGTCAGTTCAAGAGTGCAATGTGCATGCTGTGTCCAGAAGAAGGGTTTCCTGGTACCCTTTTACTCAGACTCTTACATTCTTTCCTCCCCACTTCCTTAATGTTATCTGAACCTTGTTGAGGGATGAGAAATAGAGATGGATACTTTGACTAGGGCTGCACACTCAACAAGTACTTAGCCTCAGTGAGAACGTACTCCACTAGGAAGCTAGTGAGGCCTATGTAAACAACAGGTCAGGAGAGTGGCATGGGCGACCCCTAAGGCTTCCTACAGGGTAACTAGAAAGCAACGGGAGTGTTTGTGAACCAAGAATGGAAGGAAGTACTTTCTGAGGCAAATCAAAAAGCCAGTAGAACTTAAGAATGAAAATGAAAGTTCCTGGCCTAGATGTTAGCCAAACTCATGATCAGAACCTCCCATGTCAAGACACAGTTTCTGAGAAAAACACTTTCCCAACTTAAGAAATTATTCACATCAAATAAATTTCTAACAATAAAAATGCTTTACTGTATCTATTTGTCAAAGGTATTTTTATAACGTTGACTTTTTTATTCACATAATTTTTTAAAAGATTTTTTTTGCTTTTGTGTTATGTGTATGAGTATTTTGCCTGCATGTGTGTCTCTGCTCCAAGTGTCTGCCTGGTGCCCAGAGACTACAGAACAGGGTGTTGGGAACCCTGGAACCAGAGAGGAGCTTGAGCTGCTGCAGTAGTGCTAGGAACTGAACTCAGATCCCAGCAACAAGTGTTTTCACTGCTGAGCCATCTCTCCAGCTCCCCCAAATGATATTTTGACCTGTATCTATTCTATCCAGAATTGGCACATGGGAAAGATTTAATATAACCCACTGTAGTTCAAGTTCAGAATAAAAAGTAGCTGTAGTTAGCTTGCATGTTCATGTTATAACATTTTGAGTTTCGTTTGGCTTACTATTAAAAGTACCTTTGGAACAATTTTAACTAGTTTTACTAATCCAGGAAGAAAAGGGCTTGGGAAAAAGGAATAGCTGGGTTAGAGGTGCACATCTGTATTGTACCTTTCCAGAGGCTAAGGTCTCCAGAGGACTGCTAGTTTCAGAGCAGGCATTCCTAATAAATCAGTACCCAGAACTAAAAGCAGGAAACCTGGGAAAGAGGCAGAGAGAGAATGAATGTGATAACATGGGAGAGAGCAAGTGCATGAAAGCGGATCAGGGTAGCTCCTGACTGTGACTCCAGCACTTAGTAGAAATTGGGTAGAAGAGGAGTAGGAGAATGGATGAGAGAGTTCAAGGCCAGCCTGAATTATATAGTGAATTCCAATTGATCCTGAAAACCCGTCTTCAAAAAGATAGGGGGGGAGGGAGGAAGGAAATATCCATAGAGCTCATACACCCTGCTGTAGTAAATATATAAGCAACTCTAGAACACAGAGAAGACCTATGGGATTAGGTTGATTAAAGAGAAGAATTATTAATACAAATAATGACTAACTATATAAAATATACAGTAGAAAATATCCAAAAGTTTTGAAATTTAGTCTTTTTTTTTTTTTTTTTGGAGACAGTGTCTCACTGTGTAGCCCTGATTGTCCCAGAACTGGTTATGTTGACCAGACTGACCTTGAACTCAGGAGATCAGCCTCCCAAATTCTGGGGTTTATGCCATGTCCAGTTCTTCTCTCTTTTAAAAAAATATTTTGGGGTGTGTGTGTTTAGGACATGTGTGAGTGGGTATTTACAACACAGGAGGGTGTTAGAGTTTCTAGAGCTGGAGTTAAAGGTAGTTATGAGCTACCTGACATGGGTGCTGGGATCTGAACTTGGGTCCTCTAGAAGAGTAACAAGTGGCGTCGTCTCCTAAGCCTCCTCCATAGTCAGCCTGCTTTGTCTGCCTTTGTAGTTCACGACTTCACAGGTGTGACATCATTCATCTTCTGTTTTATTTACATTTACTTACTTTGTATCTGTGTGAGTGTATGTAGGGGAGGCGGGACAGGGCACATGCTACAGTGCATGTGTGGGCCTCAGAGGATACCCAGAAGGAGTTCTCTCCTTTCTCCATGGGAGTTCCTGGGCTTGAACTGAGGTCATCAGACTCGGAGGCAGGCGTCTTCCCTACAAAGTCATTGTGCCTGTCTGGTCCAGATCATTAGTTTTCTTGTCTGTCAATGAGGACAATAATAACTTTGCCTAGGTTGTTGGGCTTACGTAGAACCATACACTGAAACCCCTGTGTTCAGTTCTCAGTACTTATTCTTTGAGGCATGCATGTATATACATGATGCTCCGTATATCAAGTGGAACACCTATGTTACCTACCTCTAATTACCATCTTGGACTTTGGTAGACAGATTCGGGGGTGGGGGTTGGGGGGGTGACACCAGCCTTAGCTTAGGCTTGCTCTTAACTAATTCTTTTAACTTAAATTAACCATATCTTTTAATATATGTTCTTTTACATGGCTCTGTTACCTTTACTCTGTATTCTCCATACTGTTTCCTCTGTCTGGCAACTCTGCCTTCTTCCTAGTGTTGTTCTCCCCCTCCCCCTCTCCCCTTCCCCCCCTTCACCTCTCCCTTCTCTCTCTCCTCTCCCTGCAGAAGTCCCACCTATCTCTTCTCTCTTGCTATTGGCTGTTTAGCTTTAATTACACCAGTCACAGCAATGGATCTTCACAGTATACACACATCCCACAACAGACTTCATTATTTTGCTCACTTATTTTCATAGAACTGAAGGATATTTCACACTTGATAAAGGTCCAGAAATAAAAAGAAAATTCAGTGATGAGGTTGGGGGTTATCAGATAAATGTCTGTTTTAAAAATGATAAAATTAGGGTAGATGTAGTGGCACCTGCTTTTAATCCTATCACTTGGGAAACAGAGACAGATATTTCTATGATTTAAAGGCCAACCTGGTCTACATAGAGGTTTCCTGGTCAACCAGAGTCACATAGTAAGACCTGTCTTTAAAAAGGGCTTAATTAAAGTTTTGAAATGTATGTGGATTTTCAGAATAAAATGTTGTGTTCTGTTGGCATATACTAACTGTACTTACTGAGCTTCGCTATGACACCTTATATATTAATGCATTTTGTTTGCACGCACCCCTCCATTGCCCTCTCTTGTCCTTGTCCTGCTCTCCCTCGGACCCCTTCCTGCTTGCTCTTCCCAGTGAGCCCCCTTCTGCTCTTACATCTTAATTGTTTTTTTTGTTGTTGTTGTTTGTTTGTTTTTCAAAACAGGGTTTCTCTGTATAGTCCCGACTGTCCTGAAACTAACTTTGCAGACCAGGCTGGCCTCGAACTCACAGAGATCCACCTGCCTCTGCCAAGTGCTGGAATTAAAGATGTGCACCACCATTGCTCAGCAAATTAAAAAAACAAACAAACAAAAAAAAAAAAACAAGAGCAGCAGAATATGACTGTTTTAAGGTTAAGAAAACTATGTGCTTTGCTTATAACCCCTTTCTTCTCCTTTTACAGGTCATCCTCATAGAATTTTTACCAAAGACACCGATTTTTCGACCAGATTAGCATTTGCTTTATTTATAGAGACTTTCCAAGTGTGTTGTCTTTCCAATGGTGCCTTGCTTGGTGCTCTCCTGCTGGTGACATGATGCTGGTTCTACAGAATCGGGTGGTGTTTTTGTTCGTTTTGTTTTTAAATAACCGCATGTTCTATGTGTGCATATTTGTCAAACTTTGCAAGTTATTTCATACAGATGTTTAATACTTAAGTTATTGTGCTCTTTTCTGTTATGTATTCTGATTTTCAAGGATTACTTTTTGTATTCTGAAAAAAAAATACATTTGAACTTAGCATAAAAATGGCCAGCCTTTGTTATTTTGTCAACAAGGGTCACACAGTCCTTTGTCAGTTCCTTAACATAGAAAAACATACTTGGTGTCTTTTCTGATATGCTTTTGTACTGATTTTTTTTTTTTTTTTTTAGAATTTGCCACAGTAGTTATTTGAAAACAGTAAGCTTTCTCACATAGCTTTTTGGGTCTGCACTGACCTTTCTCAAACAATTCCTGATGCTCTGTCTCACCAGAAGCACTGTAGCTTTATGAAGAACTAGCAATGGTTTTGAAAATATCTCTGTCTTCAAAAGTGGTGATTTTCCTGGACCAGGCATATTGAATGATGTGTATGCAGCAGCGGTTGCTGGAGCTCAGTGAGCTCACTGCAGCACAGCATGTCTTGGGGTTCCAGTCAACAGGCAGTAAGGCACCTGAACTCGATTATGTTTATTGCTCAGCATATCTTACATACAGACGTAGAGAATTACCCCCTCTAAAATTAAAAGTAAGATATGTTCCCAGTCAAACGTGGAATGGATGTGTTTCTGAATAGTTTGGAAAGAAAACAAAGAGTTAAAAAATCATCTGATATAACACTGGTATATTGTTAGAGTAGATGCTAAGAAATGGAGGGCATGTTTTAATTTTCAGTCTACCCATTCACTTTCAATCCAGTTATGTATTTTTTTATTGAAAATTGGATATTTACATTCAGATCAGATTAGCTTATTACTTTTAAATATACACATTCATGTATGTTTTTCTGTTTGGTTGTACATATCTCACACTATAGATTTCTGAAAGGCCTATGTATAGACTTTGTTTTTTTTTTATAAGTCTAACACGCTTTAATGTGTGTCAAGAACTTGTTCCATATAGTTGTGGTATCGAGCAATAATGTGAATTACATTTGAAATGATATAAACTATGTTTAATAATTTGTATTAAGAATTGGTACCACTACCTTCCCCCTCCCTGTATTAAAACTTTTAAATACCAATTTCGTTAATTTATATACCTGTATTTTAAAAAAGTGTTTCTTTGTACTTCTCTAAAGTACTATGCTTCTATATAAATTTTAATAGCTAAATGCTGGTGTCTCATATTCTATATGGGACTTTAGAAATTGTCTTTAAAACTTTGATATAAGATTGTGTCCCAGTGTCTCTATCTCTACCTCCTTCCCCTCCCCTAACCCTCCCCTCTCCTCCCCTCCCCCTGAAATTTAACTTGAATCCATAGAAAACTTTTCTGTGAAACACTCAGAATACAAAGGATTTAAATGGTTTACACTTTTATTTAGCCTTTGTCTAGACAGCGTAGGTAGGTATGTCCTACCACCATAATTACTGCGTTTCAGAGTAATGCTATTCCAAACTCCAATGTTCCTCTATGTTTCAGTGTGAAATGGTTATATATTCGCACAGTGCTGAATTATCCTCAGGCTTCAGAAAGAGCAGCAAGCCATGATGACCATGCAGACTATGCAACAGTGTTCCCTGTACACAGCTGTCAATCTGTAGAATGTTACAGCTATGAAGAAACTGTGGCCTAGTTTAAGAGGCCATTTGTCTTCTATTGTTGGTCAATTGCAGCTTCAGAATTATAGTGTTGTAAGAATATTTGCACAATTAACATTAAGTATAGGATTTTAAAAGCTTTTGTAGCTGTAATTAGATACGTGTTCCCTGCTGAAAAAGTCCCTAGAAATATGCACTCCCATATTTCAGATGTACACAGAAAAGAACCATGGTGCATTATATGTGCATTACCATAAGCTAATCACACCTCGAGCATTTAGAGTTTCCATTAATGACTTACAGTATTATTTCTTAAATCATATATTTAAGTGCCCATGTACTGGAGATTGTATGTCTGAGGCACCCTTGTTAATGAGCATCAGTCCAAGGAAGGGTGTTGCTCAGCTTCTGTCTTCTGTCCTTAAGTTTGTAAGTCATGAGCCATTGGTGCTTTTTAGACCGGCCAAGAAAATAGATTATTAGAAAATCCAATTGTATATAAGCTAATAAGTTACCTGTGACCTTTTCTTGTACATCACTGGCTTTTTATAGGTAGTCAGTATTGCTATATAGAAACTCTTTGCCAGACAATATATTTTACAAACTATCGTATTTTATATACAACTATGGATATTTGGCCTAAAATTGCTATTTCAGGCCAAGTAGGGTGGTAAAACTGATGTGACATTTTTAGCTTTGAGGAGAAGGTTGCCCTTTCCTCAGGAAGGGTTCATTGTGTCTATCTAAATTGCCAGCTGATGCTATACCAAGAGTTTATAATGAGTAGATTCCAGTTATTTAGAATATATACCATGTAATTTTGTCTTAAAAATACACAAATTTAACAAAACCTTGAATAATAATAAAAAATGATTTCCACTAATTATTAGAATAGTTTTGTAAGTGAACAATTTTCAGTCAGGAAGAACCCTGACTTTCCCTTAGTTGTTTTCCTGGTGTTTATGGAGTATTTCTGATTGTTTCCTTGGTAGACACAAGCTAGCTATATAGGCTTTGCACAGTTTCTACTGCAGTCGTGTAGATGCAATGGTGGTCTGTGCAGTTGGGACCTCCATTTGCACGAGTTCAGATGCGCTAGTTTTATATGTTGTTCAGTACATGATCAGACTTTCCATGATGTTTGGCTTCACAGTTTACCATGTGAAGTTTTGCTGCATGCCTGATGCTTCATTGTACAGATTTGCTTTGGCTTGCTGTTGATCACTAGGACCGAATCAAAAGTAAAATATGTTTAAAATTGTCTCTGATACTACACCAGCATCTAGCGGTGGGCCAAACATTAGGCGGGGGGGGGGGATTGTGGGAGCCAAGAGGGGCTAGAGACATCGTGAGAGCGTGGCCCACCTAACTGAACAAACAGGGCTCATGGGAGGAGGGATCATAGAGACTGAAGTGGCATTCAAGATCCTGCGTGGGTCTGTGCTATGTTCTCTACATATATGTTAGGATTATTGACTTGGAGTTTTCGGGGACTCCTGACAGTGGGACTGGGGTGTCCCTGACTCTCTTGCCTGCTCTTGAGACCCTTTTCCTCTTGTTGGATTACCTTGCCCAGCCTTGATGTCCAGGTTTATGCCTGGTCTTACTGTGTCTTATGCCGTGTTTGTTAATATCCTGGGAGGTCTACTGTTTTCTGAGGGGATGAGGGGGTGGACCCGAGGGAGGGGAAACTACAGGAAGAACTGAGAATAATGGAAGGAGGGGAAGCTGCCGTCAGTATTATATGACAGAAGAATAAATAAAAATAATAATAATTAGAGGTAGGGTATTCCTCATATTTACCTAAAATATTTTTTGTGTTCAAAGATTGAGGAAATGGTGAGTATAATATTGAAAAAATATATGTGATCTTTAAAAATGTAGTTACATCTGAGATCATAGACCCATGTTCTCCCTTCCCTTGCATTCCTAAACGCAATGCTTTTAAATTGAGAGTTGACTGTGTCTCTGTTTTTGAAACCTAATATATTGCCTTTTTAGCTTTATAGCTCAGAAATATTTTAGTGAACTGAGTACCCAAGCATTTTGTTTTTGATGAATTAGCTATCTATTGCTCTGTTACTTTTGTTTAAAGAAACAGCATCAACCAACCTTCAGCAGAAGATGCCTTCCCCCAGGGCCTGGTGCAGTCTGGGTACCAGCACTCTGGAGGATGTGACACAATTGATTGATTTTGGAGGCTAGACAGTCTCAAAGAGCAACAAGAGAGAAGGGAGTGCTAGTGACAGAGAGAGCCGTGAGTGGTTTCCTCCTGGGTCCTAGTTTAGTAAATTGTGTCCAGTTCTTTGTCTTGACATAAACACTGTTAAACTTAAAGTCTAGAAGGAAAGCTGAGTATGTTGGCTTCTGCCTTTTCACCCCATAGTTCAGCAGACAGAAGCAGGTTCTCTGAATTGGAGACTAGCCTGGTCTACAGAATGAGTTCTAACCAGTCAAGGCTCCATAATGAGGCCCTGCTGTAAGTTCCCACAACCCCACAAAATTAAACCAAAGCATGACATTTTGTTTTTGCAGAATGTAATGGATGAAGTAAGTCACTTCACAGGAAACCTGTAGACTGAGAAGGGTCTGTGGTCATGACTGAGTGAAATTCATATCCGTGCGCACACCTACAGTGGACAGCACTCTCACAGATGTCTAGCAATAAAATAATGAAATCAACAATATCCTTATGAATTTGGGTTTATATCTTGGCACGGTGAACTTGAAAATTTTGTAGTAGGCATTTGTGAACTTTCCACTTGATTCTAGAAAAGCATGTTTGAGACCCTGGCTTATACTCTGAAGGAAAATGGAAAAGTGCAACTTCTATCTTACACCCTTGCTCTAAAGGTTGTCCTTAAATTCTGAAATGAATGCAAATTTAGTGAAGATTGTCAATTATCCTGTTAGACTCTCAAATTTTCAGGTGAAGGCAGAAATAAATCGGGCCACTACCCCTGTAAATACATGTTTAGCAGTGTTGAATTGTGTCAAGTGACTTAACCACATGGGGTTTGTCCCATTTTATTTGATCTAGATTCCAGTACATATATGTGTGTGTGTGTGTGTGTGTGTGTGTATCTATGCATACAATATGTGTATACATGCACACGTCAATGTAAAAACAACTTTCACTTCAAAGGGAAGAAGAGTATTCTGCAGCCAAATATAAGCAACCTTGGCCTGGAACAGATTCAGATTATCCCAAATTCCATGTTTCAATGTGGCAGATGTTTTATTGCATCTTTATAGTAAAAAAACAAAGTCATCAATCAAGGCACTTTTCAAACACATTGGTAGGAATACCAGGTAAGAGGGATATAGCAGTCAGCTATGTGTCTCAGATGCTGTCTGATGACATTCTTAGCCTTTCAGTTGGTGGAACTCAGTGACCGGCTAATACATTTGAAAGGCTTGACCTGTTACAAGGGTGTGAGAAATGACTACTAAGCAGCTAACAATATAGGTAGCTCAAGATAAACTGAAATTAAGTTGTGTCAGACAGTACCCCCCCACACACACACACTCCATAGTCTAATCAGTTAACAGCCTTACAGAAAGTTGTCTTGTGTTTTCAGGTGTGCGCTTGTGTGCTGGACATAGGGAAAGCCACAGAGAGGTTAATTCTGACAAAAATACCTGATTCAACTCACTTTTGGACTTCCTCTGGCCAGATGTGGTAGTGCATGCCTTTAGTCCCAATACTCAGAAGGCAGAGGCAGGTGGATTTCTTGAGTCTGAGGACATCCTGGCCTACAAAGCGAGTTCCAGTACAAAGTTACACATTAAAAAAACAAAACAAGCAAAAAAGGGTTTTTTTCTGTGGTATGCAAAGAAGATTTTTTTTACCTCCATTACCTGAATTGTTTCACTCAAGATACAAAATGGCAATGCTACATGAAATGTTTGAAGAGAGAGGCTTCATTTTTGTGTTTCCTTGATTGTTTCTGTATTAGTTTTTTAAAAAAGAATTGGTGCTTTATATTTTGAATTTCCATTCTTGTCACTGTTTTCATTCTAACAAAAATGAGGGCTTTCTCAGAATTGTATTCCATTTCTTTTTTCAGAAATAGAAACAGTAGCAAAATGCCAGTACTGCCTGCAGTAGTTAGTATCTTAGACTCCATTGCAGAAAGCCTAAAAGATAGCGCAGCCTTTTGTACCTATGGTCTTAGATATTGTTAAATAGCCATTCAGTTTTCTTCACATTGTGTGTGAGATGAATATTTCTTAAGACTTTTTGTTTGCTTTACCAAAGAAATCAGTGGAGGAAAAAAACTCAAAAAACAAAACAAACAAAAAACACCCTGTAACTCATGTGAAGCATGCAGGGTGTTGTAATTTCAGTTTGCAAAGCTCTGAGATACAATGTTGCAGAGCCAAAAGCACACGATAGATTTAATGTAGCCAATTGTGGACTTTTGAAAAAAAGAGTAACTGTTCCCTGTGAGTTAATTTTGGATTTTTTCAAAATCTC